TGCTTAGGTACTCCCTTATCCAATGGAGTACCTTCCCTTTCACCCCAGCCTGCATCTCCAGCTTTTTCACTAGCCTTTTGTGTGGTACTGTATCAAAGGCTTTCTGGCAGTCCAAAAATATGCAGTCTGCCCATCCCTCTTCTTCTTGCCTGATTTTTGTTGCCTGGTAGTAGAATTCAATTAACCCTGTGAGGCAGGACTTGCCATCCCTGAACCCATGTTGATGCTGTGTTACAAAGTTCTATCGCTCCAGATGTTCCACTAGCTTTCTTCGCACAATCTTCTCCAACAGCTTGCATGGTATGCAAGTTAGGGACACTGGCCTGTAGTTCAGTGCCTCCTGTCTATCCCCTTTCTTATATATCGGGACTACATTAGCTGCTTTTCAAATTTCTGGCAGTTCCCCCTGTTGCCATTGATTTGTTATGCACTATGGAGAGTGGCAGTCACAGCGCTTCTGCTCCTTCCTTTAGTATCCAAGGAGAGATTCCATCTGGTCCTATAGCCTTTGTCACATCCAACTCTAGTAAACACTTCCATACTTCCCCACTGGTAATCTCAAACTCTTCCAGTGGTTCCTGGTTAACTGTTCCCTCTCTTATCTCTGAAATTTCTCCTTGCTCTAAGGTGAAGACCGCCTGGAATTTCTTATTCAGTTCCTCACACACTTGTCGCTTGTAGTGAATCCTTCTGCCCCTATCCTTAATTTCATAACCTGTTCCTTTATTGTTGTTTTTCTTCTGATGTGGCTGTGCAGCAATTTAGGTAGAGTCTTTGCCTTGCTCGCGATGTCATTTTCGTATTGTCTTTCTGCCTCTCTTCTCATCCTGACATATTCATTCCTGGCACTCTGGTATCTTTCTCTGCTTTCAAGTGTCCTGTTATTCTTATAGTTTCTCCACACCCTTTTTCTTTGCTGCTTAGCTATCCTACATCTCTGATTAAACCATGGGTTTCTCATCTTCATTTTGTTGTCTTCCTTTTGGACTGGGACAAACTTGTTTGCTGCCTCCTTGCATTTCTACGTGATGTAGTCCATCATGTTTTGGGAGTGGATGTGCTTGGGCGTTGACGGAATGACCCCGTCCTTCAGGTGGGTTTCCCACCTGTCTCCAGTGCCAAAATAGGACTGTTTGGGTCTTAGGTTCATTCTGGTCTTGTCCCATCTTATCCCCTGGATTCCTTGCCCCTCCTTTCGGATGACCACTCTGTCCCAGGTCCAGCTTCTTTTGGAGCTGGGTTCTTGGATGGTGTCTTTAGACCTCTGGGACGTGTATTGGGATGTCCCTATTCATCCAGGGTTCTGGGACTGGTTTGTTTTAGTTGTGGGGTGGCAGGCTTACTGCTTTCGTTGCCTTCCTTTTGTCTTGAATCTGGCACCTCACATATTCACGCGTCTTACCTGGGTTGTATTCACCTAGTTGTTCTTGCGGGGGTTGAGCTCTGCTCTTTTGCCCCACGTCTCAACTGTCAATCAGTCAACTGTAACTAACTACTAACTAACTAATTTTTTATATTTTTTTCTCTCTCTCCCCCCCCCCCCCCCCCCACACACGCACACATGCACGCCCAGGAAACAGCTCCGTAACAGCTGTCTAACTCCCAGGTACCTATTTACTGCTAGGTAACAGGAGCATCAGGGTGAAAGAAGCTTTGCCCATTTGTTTCTGCCTTGTCCGGGAATCGAACCCGGGCCACAGAATTACAAGTCCTGTGCGCTGTCCGCTCAGCTACCAGACCCCCCGAGGGTTGTGGTGACCTGTCTGCATCTGCTAGGGGTTCGGGTTCTGGCCTGCCTCGACGACTGGTGTGGGCTCCCAGCCAGTCTGCTTGTCTGCTCGCCAGGGGCGTGGTTCTCTCCTAGCTCGCCTGGTTCGAGTTCCTGGTGAACTGGAGGAAGTCCCATGTGGTTCTGTCCCAAGTTCGGACCTGTCTAGGCCTCGTTTGAGACTTTTGTACTGCTTCCATGTCTCTCCCTTCTGTGGCATTGCTGCGGCTGCAGTCCCACCTTCAGCTGTTTCTGGGGGTTCCCAGGTCACTTGGCGGTTGCTTGAGCAGTTGTGCAGGAGTCTGAACTTCGCTGTGGTGGTTTACCCACCGGGTCGGGTCTGGCTTTCGCGTATGTTCTGGTTCCTTCGAGGGCCGTCCCTTCTGCCTCTCTTGCGACTGCTGGGTTTGGCCTCTCGGGGCCTTGCGTTGGTTGCTGTGTCGCCGGCTTGCTCTTTGGGTTTTTAGGGGTTCAGTGCCGTCGCATCTACCCATGTCCCCTGCTCGATATGTTCACGGATGCCTCATCTCTCAGCTGGGGTTTTGTGATTAGTGCTCACCAGGCTGGCCAGGGGAGGTGGGCTCCATCCTTCCATTGAACTCACAGCACGGTGTGGGAGTTCGCAGCGGTTTGGCTGTTGCTAGGAGGGTTTGGTTGCTTGGGGCTCTATGATCCGGCTCCATTCGGACTATTCTCCGGTGGTTCATTGTCTGAACTAGGGGGGGCTGCCTTTGGTCCTCGGCTCTTTGTGGCTGGTAGCTTCAAGTGACTCATCTGCTGGATTCTTGGGGTTTGGCTCTCTGTACGGTTCGCATCCGGGGAGTGTCCGAAGTCCTGGCGGATGGCCTGTCGTGGTTCATATCTCAGTCCATGAAATGGATGGTCGACGCCGTCTCCTTCATTTGACTCCACTGACGTTCGGGCTTCCGGAGGTGGGGCCTCTTCATGTTGGCATGGTCTCAACATCTTCCAATATATGTGGCGCCAACCCTGACTGCGGAGCCATCGCGGTGGACACCTCTTGGCAGGACTGGTTGAGGTAGGGTTACCTATACCTCATCTCCCTGGTCCAGCTGTTGCATCGGGTTATGGCTCTTTTGGAGCCATAACCTTCGTCCCCATGGCCCCTTGGTAGCCAGTCCAGCCTTGGTTTCAGGCGCTGCCTGCTCAGTGTCCGAACCCGGGGTATTTTTAACAGCTCTGCCTCTTTCATCAGATTAGACTGGTCCAGTATATGGCTTGTTCGGTGTATTCCTCTGCTCTTCATGTCTGGTCTTTTTGACGCGGGTGTATCACCACTTGTATGGTGATCAGGTGGCTTCAGTGAAGGTGTCCGACCTCCGAGCATCTCTGCGACAGTATGAAGTTTGCTGGCATTCTTTTCGCCATTTCCTCTCTCTTCGTAGGTTGTTTTCTATTTCCGTTTGGATTGTTTTGACCTTTCTTTTTTGGCTCTTCAGCAGTGACTTTTGATGCTCAATACTATTGCCTCTTATCATGCGGCACTGGCGGAGCCACTCCTGCTTGCATTCGAGGTGGATGTTACTTCAGCCCCGTTCCGTAAGCTTTCTCGTGCCTTGTTTCACCTCTGGTCTGCTCATGCGCCACCAGAGCTGTCCTGATCTTTTTAACCGGGTGCTCTCTTTTTCTCTCTTCTCTTCAGTTTGTGGTGGCCCCTTCGGTTCAAGATTGTTTTTCCAATGCTCTGTTTCTGTTCGCATTGGCTTCTGGGGGTCGGGTTTGTGAGCTTCATGCTCTCCTCCGGCACGGGCTTCTGCTCTTTCGATCCTGTTGGTCGGTTTGTTTGGCTGCAGCCGTCGTCTTCTTTTCTGGCAAAGAACCAGACGGTGGACTTCGGGAGAGGTCCTTGGGTCATTGATGCTTGGTTGGGCAGTCCAGGGTTGCATCAAGTGCTGTGTCCGGTTGCAGCTTTACAACTGTTACCAGCAGGCCTCGTCTTCTGTGGCCAGGGACACACTTTGGGTTGATCCGGTTTCCCTCGTTCCCTGTTCCAGTGCTCGGGTCTCTCAGGTCGTCTGCAGGGTTATTAGGTCTAGCCAGCCTGCTGTCTATCCTTGTGGCAATGACCTTTGTAAGTATGCTGCTTTTGCTGCCGTGTTTGGCAACATGTCTTGGGTTGACATTAGGGCGCGGGGGTTTTAGAGGTCGAACAAGGTCCTGGCCACCTGTTATCTGGTTAATGTTCCCGGTCCAGGTTGTTTGTGTGTGGCTTTTGGTCACAGTTTCAGTCAGCTGTCTCGACTTCGAGTTGAAGTGTGCATGGCGGTCACCTCCCGGGTAAGTCACTCTTTTACTTTGGTTAGGTAGTTCCAGGGAGCCGGAGGGGCTCCCCACAGAAAACCAGCGTTGAAAGTAATGAAACACCAGCATTGAATGTAATGAAATGCCAGCTTTGAATGTAAAGAAACCCAGACAAAAGGAGGGAGGCACCCTCCCTCCCTCCGGTTGGCAGTTTCCATTTTGTGTTGATGCTCAGCCTCTGAACTGGAGGTGTGAATAGCCGGCTTCAGGGGTGTTTGGGGCCCGCCCTCCAGGGGGAGGGGAGGGCTGCGTGGACAAGCGGCGCTGCGTCAGTGTATAACGTTTGCTTATTTCTTTGGGTTGAGGGAGTTTTGCCTTTCTGTACGGTCTTCGATTGTAATTTTCTTACCAAGTTAGGTCTGTTTTGTTATGCCTACCTTTCTTGGTGTCTAACCCCGGTCGATGGCAGACATGGAATACTCCCAAACACATGGGGGTTTCCATAGGCCACTGCTCCCTGCGCCTCTTAGGGGGTCAGGTTCTAGCTCGTGGTCCCCGATAGGCTGAACTCTAATTGACTGATGCCCCAGAATAATATTGCGTATATCAGTCTGATAGCTCCAGGAAGCCTCCGGGGCTCACCAAGAAAATGGCATTTTATTACATTCAACGTTGGGTTTTTTCTGTTATTTATATTTTAAGCATCAATCATATCTCCAATTCATACAAGTTTGCAAGCGTTCAATAACTAAACTCTTTCGAAAAACCTTGTACATGCTTATCTGCAGAAAATGTGGGTAAGGCATATTTAGGGTCCAGGTTTGATAGTATAGTGACCATTTTTTTATATCGTATAGCTTTGCTAGTATGAAGTGGTAAAAAGCTTTGATTTTACTGCTTTTGAAAGGTAATTTAATTTATAAGTTAGTAATCTGTTAACTAATGATGCTTTTTTTTTTTTTTATTACAGAGACTCATTCCCATGCGACCAACAGTTCATTGTTATTATGAGATTTCTTGTTGATCAAACCCAGACACCAAATTCTAAAGTGAAAGTGGCAACTCTCACATATCTCAAGTGTTTAGTGGATGTAATGGAGCGAGGAGACCTAACTGCGTCTCCTGATACTCCTATGGCCTTAGCTAAAATTTTAACTTGGACGGCAGACCAGAAATTCCTTGATATCAGAAGAGCAGCTTCAGCAGCTTTCATTGCAATGTTTAACTGCAACATCACAGAATTTACAGCACTACTACAGCAACTTCCTCCAGCCTGCCAGAGCACTGCATCACAAATCATTCAAAGTCATTTAAAAAGAGCCTCCAGCCTTGATGCTTCACCCTCGTCTTTACCCCCACGCACTCCACCAAGCTCAGGAGGAACTCCTGTCCTGCAGAGCCCGAATACCTCTCTCCCGCGATCGCATCGACCATCACGATATAATACTATTGATTTTGATGACACAGAAAATCTTAATCCAGAAGAAGTATACAGGTGAGTTTCCAAAGTCAAACTCCTTAGGTTTTAGATAAATCTTGCATTATATGATTTAAAATCAAAGGGTGCTGTAAGTAATAATTTAGTTGCTTCAGTCATTCATGGAAGCACTAGTGCTGGGAATGCAAGAAGGTACCCTTCTTTTGTTGATATATTATATGGTATTGTGAAGGTTTTGTCTAAATTCTAATATTCTTTGTTTGGCAAATTTTTCTAAGCTATGCTACTTTCTACTTAGGGCAAGGGCTTCCTGGTCACCTTGGACCAGTCTGTACACAATCACAATGAAGAGCCATAATCCCGGAGACATGTCTGGTAGGCCATATCAGGCATGTCTCCCAGATTGTCAGCAGGCAGTCACAACAAAACTAGGTTCTTCAACACAGATATTCTCACAACTTTGAGGAGTGTTTGGTTGTTACTATGGCAGGTAGAGAAAGAAATTCAATTATGTGCTGTTCTGTGGTGTGTGAGACACAGCCTTACTGTTAGGTCATTGTCTTTGCTTGGTCAGAGTGATTCTCTTCAAGTCTTCCTTCAGTAACACGTGGGTCAGTTTCAGGAGTTTACTGAGATGATTCTCTGTCACTTTCCACACTTTTCTTTGCTCATATTTATTGAGAGGAGGTACAGTGTCAAAATAGTATATGTTGTGACACTACCTGTCAATACTTTACTCAATACTGTTTTTGTACTTTATGATTTTATCTAAATCTCTTGACATTTAAGGACTGTGCTGTATTTGCTCTTGAAACTGTAGTATAAATATTTCCTTCCATTTCTTTGGTGCATTTAGGTTTTTGATTTCTACTAATATCATCTTTTTCTTATTTTATCTCAATTTAATGACACTGTTCTCGCCCACCTTGTGGTTTGGTTAGCACAATAATTTTTTCATCTGTTGAATCAGGTGTCATTTTCCCAAGATAGTGTAGCTGTTGCTTCTGATGCATATTGTCCATTTTCAGGTAGGTTATGAAGATTCTAGTCATGGCACATCAAAATAGATGTGTTATTTTGTCCCTCCTTTTGTCGTGCACGATTCACAATTTGTTGGGGGGGTCACTTACTAAATGCCTTGTCCAGTTCTCTACTACAATAGCATAACCACAGCTGCTGTAGTTTTATCATGTGGTATCAGAGTCATTTATTACACATACCTGGATGTTTATTTGCATGTGCCAATTCATATGAGTTTACGATCACCAGGCTGATTCTGTGCAGGTTTGGTTCCTGGGAATAATTTTCTTTGCCTTCCAGTGGGCAGTGGTAAGTAGGTAGGTTTTTGGTTCAAAATGAAATAATTTGGGTTACCAATCTCACTTCCTTTCCAATGATGCAGTTTTTAATTTATTTGATCAGGGACAGTAAGCCTGTGTGTGTGTGTGTGTATGTATGTATGTATGTATGTATGTATGTATGTATGTATGTATGTATGTATGTATGTAATGTATGTAATGTATGTAATGTATGTAATGTATGTAATGTATGTATGTATGTATGTATGTATGTATATATATATATATATATATATATATATATATATATATATATATATATATATATATATATATATATGTATGTCGTATGTAGTGTATTTGTAGTTTTCCTGAATTATTATATTTACTATAATTTTTTTCTTATGTATAAAGTATGTATGTATTTGTTTTATTGTTAAAATTAACGTAGATATATGTATGTATGTAGGTTAGGTTAGGTTAGGTAGACGAAAAAACATTAATTCATGAAAACTTGGCTTATTAGGCAAATCGGGCCTTGAATAGTAGGCTGAGAAGTGCGTTCTGGCTATTAGGTACGACATATATATATATATATATATATATATATATATATATATATATATATATATATATATATATATATATATATATATATATATATATATATATATATATATATATATATATATATATATATATATATATATATATATATATATATATATATTTATATTTATTTATTTATTTCTAGGCTTGTATCGAGGTCCCTCCCATCCTCCAAGTCGAACTATTGCCCCTTCCCAAGATGCAACCCCATAACAGTTGCCTTCTCCTAGACTTTGGCAACTGCACTGCCATGTGAACAGAGCCATTAGGTGAAAGGAAACCATGCTCAACCATTTCTGTCCCATCCAGGAATTGAACCCAGGATCCCTGATTTTCAAGTTTTTCCTAGGGAAATGGCACTTTCTCAATGGGATATAAAAAGTTTCCCTACTTGCGTGCTAGTTGCCTACGAGACTACTGTGTGATTCTCTCTAGGCTCTTAAAAATGTCCTTTGGGGATTTCTTTGTAGTCTTTGAGGGATCAGTCTCTTGTCTCAACCAGGGGTGAATTGGAACCAAACTGAATCCTCTAACAGTTCTTCAGGATGGAATGCCTCCATACTTAAAGAAGAGTCCAGCTGTTGAACCCTGCTATGGAGCAAAATCCATTCTGTTGTTGTGAACTGTTGTTGTGGCACTGTTATGAACTGTTGTTGTGGCACTGTTGTGAACACAATAAGTGGATTGTTAAGACTCTGCATGGTGCACCAGAGTCAAATGGAAGTGTTCTAATTCCCATTGTCTTTCTCTTTCTCTTCTTGCAGGCAGGGATGGGGATGAATATAGGTTGGTAGGTCTGTTCCTCATAAATTCGTGATGTGTTTGGTCATATGACCCATGCCTCAGCTGGAACCATCTTTTACAACATTTTCAAGAGGGAAAAGAGGTGCTTTCAATCCAAGGTAGTCATTGGCTGTTATACAGCAGCCTTCTCTTTATCCTGGCGGTAGCTTGGGAATGCCCAGGCCCTTCCTTTCCCGTCACTGGTTGAGGATGATATTTGGCCTGAGGCTTTGCATGGAAAGGCACCCTAGTTTCCTCTTGATGTATCGTGGGTTATGGTTCCTGGGTTCTTGGGGTCAGGATTACTGGTCAGGATTCCTCTACCCTTCTGCGTCAGGTCATTGCTGGTTGGCTGGTCTTGGGTGTGGCTGAAATTACCTTGTCCCTTCGGTGGGTGTCTCACTTGTTAAGATTATGATAAGCCACAGCATAAAATTACAATAGTTATCTTATCCTATGGCTATATCTTAATAATAAATTAAGAAATTACCAACTATTTCATAAAAGGGGAAATACATAATATACACATTTAGCAATCTAAATTCTTTTGGATAATATTCTTTGGCTGATTTAGGTAACTTGTAATTAATTTTAAAATATACTTTTATAGTGTATGAAACATTTTCATATCCTAACTTTTCTGTAATGGTACATGAAACAAATGCTGGCTTTTTACAGGAGTTTGAAACGCACAACAGCAGAGATCCAAAATTATAGCTTCGACCTTGAGAGTTTAGAAAAACATAGAGATTCTACATCACAGGTACTAAAATTCAGGTTTTATCCCACTGTTATAACAGATGTGCTATTTTGTTAGCTTAAATTTAAGACAATTCACAAAAAGCAAGATATGTTTGTTAATGCATTGATTAAACCGGTTCTATAATTTGTTACCCAATTATCTTGAAAATAATGACATATTTAGGAAATATAATAATTTTTTTATATAAATTTACTAATATATTAATAATTTTCATTTTAACTAGGATTCAGGGATAAGCCAGTTGTCAGCCGGTGGTGGTGACATTCGAAATATTGATGCAATGGATGATAAACATTCTGAGGATACTAATGGCATTCTTTCGGGAAGATCCTCAAGTGTATCATCTCCTACACACCGTCAGCTCTCCATGATGTCAGATTCCTCAAGAAATGGCTTGGATACACTCACTGATGATGATTTGGGTAGAGGTATTTTCTTATTTGGCTTCTTTTGTTTAGTTTTGTATTATTATATTTTGCTTGCATGATATATTTTATTATTTTATTAAAATTAAACCGTTTATTCAAGTTTTTGAACTCGACATTGATGAATTATCTAAATGTAGTCTTCGAGCATCTATGAAATGCAGCTTTCCAGGTTAAATACTCTTAATACTTCCTAAGTTAATATCACTAAGGGCCCATAGGGTATTATCTAAACAGTCTGGCAAGGATGACAATCCGCACCAGTACAGCATATTCAGGGTTTTACAGGGTTTTACTGATTCCAGGGAGCACTGCAGATTATTTAATTCAGTACAGTGGCACCTCGCATAACGATCGCCCCAAAAGGCGAACATTTTGGGTAACGAACGGCCCGATCGGCCTGTTCGTATGGCGAACGCTCGTTTGACTAACGTCAACACCACACGGTGGGGGTCGCGCTGCTACTTGCACATTCTCGGACGCCTCCGACGATGCAAATAAGTTATGTTGTTCTTGTTTAAAGATGCTAAAGATGCTGGAATATAAAGGGGTGACTGCTGAGATGTTGCAAAGCATTGACGTTTTTGTAGAAAAAGAAATGAAATTTCTGAAATGCAACAAATGTTAAAAAGGTTGGTTCGGTGTTCGGCAGGTAGGCTGCTCCATTATAACAATCTTTCTTTGTTTCAAATGTGTTCCATTTGTTTTGTATTTGTCATTTACATCTCAATAATGGAGCAGCCTACCTTACATACACTGAACAAACCTATATGACATTTTCCTTTCTTCAAATGTGTTCAATATTTATTTTTCATTTGACTGATAGCAAAAGGTTTGTTCGGTGGTCGGCAGGTAGGCTGCTCCATGGTTCTTACACAAAAAAAACATAAATAATAAAAAAAAAATTAAGAATTTTGAAAACCAGAACAAATGTCAAAAAGGTTCATTCGGTTGTCTACAGGTAGGCTGCTCCATGTTTCTTAAATAAAAAAAACGAAAAATAAAAAAGTTGAAACAATTTGAAAAATGGACAATTGCCATAAAGGTTTGCTCAGTGTTTGTCGGGTAGGCTGCCCCATTATTGAGATGTAAATGACAAATACAAAACAAATGGAACACATTTGAAACAAAGAAAGATTGTCATAATGGAGCAGCCTACCCGACAAACACTAAACGAACCTTTTGCTATAATAAATATGAAAGACCAGGGCTGCTGGCTGGGTTAGTAGTGCGTGAGCAACCATTTGTGGCACACGTGCCTCTGGCTCCCAAACACCTGTCCCACACGGTGTTGAAAGATTGCGCTCAGTCGTTGAAATTCAGACCTTATTGTTTGAAGAACATAAGGGTCGTAATATTGGTGAAGCTAGGCACAATAAGGACTTAACACAACGGTCGGATGCAAGTGATACAGCACCTATAAGCATGATACAGCGAGCGTATCCAGTTGTAGCTCTCAGCCCCACCCTTGCCATCTCCAATTTATATGGATGATATAGATGAATCGTTTTCTGCGTTCAGTGATGATGCATCTGATACAAGTAGCATAGATAAAAAGTGTTAGCATCACTGTGTTAGCATATTTTCAAGAATACCTGAATCTCTTCCTGACTTATGGACACTCTTTGAGACTAGCTGAATCTCTTCCTGTGTGGGACCTTACACAGCGATCTTTTCAAAACTACCTTACAATTTGAGTTTTTCCTATAATCGTTTCAATACTACCTTATGCTTTACAAGCTTGGCTACATACCACCTACAAGTACTAAAGCCAAGGGTGCACGCGAGTGCGTCATTTGCAAGCACACAGAACGATCAAACAGGAAGCGAAAATCTATCTGTAGCTGGTGCAACGAGAGCAAAGTCGTGCTGTGTACCATGGACTACTTCGTTGATTATTACGCACCTCCAAAGTAATGAGTGTGTAATACTGTGTGTTACTGTGTAAATAGTATGTGAAACTGTACATATTGTAATATTAGTGAATTTTTACAATGTAATATTGTGACAATAAACATTTATTGTGGACACATTACTGACACATGTATCACAGTTTCATGGAACATTGTGAACATTCTACTGTATACATATTGTAAAGGTCACAAATATACATCATATACGATAAAAGAAACAAATAAAACCGCATTGGAAATACATAGAACAAATATTTGAAAATATATTTGTGGCAACATGCGGTGCTTAAATGGCCTACGCGACCGTGTCTGGGAGCTTCACACACGGGTGACCAGCCCCTGATGACATCACACTGCACCTTATCCACGTCCTCACAGCCAAAGTAAGTGGAATTTGGTAATTATTTTTACACAGACATGTTCAGGGAAGGGAATTTATCATTTTACAAAGAAAAATGATTTTTTGGGAACACCTTGATGTCATGCACACTAGGGGAAATTTCACAGTAAACACAGCGCATCACAGTGGTTAAATGGGGACATTCGTTTTGCATGACGTCCGTTTCACATGACGAACACGGTGCCGGCACGGATTAAATTCGTTATTCGAGGTACCACTGTACTTGGTGTCTATCCAACCTGTCCTCTTAAAAAGAACGTCGCTTTTGGCCGTTTGCCCGTATGGCCGAATATGGACGTAATTTGATAATGAAAAAAAATGAAAATAAATTTGGGATTTTTTTTTTTCAACAACAGTAAGTTAAGGGTCCTCTGATAGCTTAGGTGGGCAGGAAATTCTCATAAAGTTTCAAAACGTTATGAAAAACGTTAATGGTAAATTTCCTTTTCTAAGCTTGTCGAGTAAGCCGGACGACTCAAACAGAAAACGGAACAGTACGTCACTTTTGTGAGTCGATTTCATTTCAAATTACGTCCAAATTTGGCCATAACGCGCATACGAGCCAAAAGTGACGTTATTTTTAAGAGGACGGGTTGGTCTATCAGAAAGGCACCCCTAACATCACCCATAGCCATTCAAAGTGCTACTCAAAGTGGTAGTATTCTAAGAACTACAAGCCAGCCCACTTGGACTCGACCCGTGGTCGCTCCTTGGAAGAAGCACCACAAGGAGGTTCCCCAGTCCTTCCTACCACACAACTTCCAGACTAGTGTAAACTTTAGTTTGGTGAGCTGGAAACAACAATGTATTAAGCTTAAAGTAGTTCTTTGCATAGGCACTTTGACTATTTTCTAAACCATTCCACTTCATTGCTTCCTAAGGAAAGATTACCCAAGGAGTTCTAGAAAGGCAAAGTACAGCAAAACAAAATTAATAATACTATAGCAACAAATAGGGCATTTCATGATTTGCAAGTTTATTGCAAATCCTGAAATGTCAATGAAATTTTTATATGATTGGGTAGTGCAATGCACCTATGTGCCCCAAAAAACTTACCAGACAGAGAGCCTTCCTAGCACTATATAATAACAGCCACCACAGGGAAGATGAGATAAATATTACATACCAAATTTGCCCTTGGATGTAAAAAAAATCTCTGGGCATGGATGTCAAAGCAAGATAACACGGAAAAAAAAATCCTTGAACGTAGTAATCCTCCACAATAAAGGGGATTATTGAATGAAATTAGCTCCAATGTTTGAAAAAGAATAGAGACAAGAGGTACTAAATTATAGACAAGTGTCATTAATAAGTATTATGTAAAGTGCTAAAGAGTTAGACAGAATGTGAATAATGGAACTTCAGGAGAGAAAAAAAACATTGTAATGGAAGGTCTGCATGGATTCTGAAGGGTGAAGTCATGCCCAATAAACTAAAAAATAATATTTTGTTTATACTTAAGTGGAGAGTTGAGAATAGAGTAATTCAGGGGAATGAAAGTTCATGGTTTAATCAATTCTCAGGTTAGGAAGAATGAGATAGGAAGAGAGATGACCACATGAATGGCAGTGGCTGCCCTTATGTATTTATGTCAGATGCTGGTATGGCATGAGCATAGAAAGTCCAGAGTTATAGCTGCAAAAATTGACAGGTCTAAATTGCATCTGTGGTACTTGAAAGATATATGAAGTTAGGAATGAAAATGTTATGGAAAGATGTCAGTTGCTAGTCTGTCATAAAAAATGGGATATCAAGATTTTTTTCATACTGAACAAATGGATAATATAGTATTAAAATATTAGTTTATTAAGAGTAAATTTGAGAGAAAGGGATAGGAATTCAGAGTTGATAATGATTTAGACATGAGTGTGTGTAAAGAAGCAGGGATTCTGTGTGAACTCATCCAAGAAGTGTTGAGGAATATGTTGAAGAGGAGTGAGGTAATTAGTGTAGCACTCCAATGGATAATGTTTGTGTATGTGATGATGATAAGGTTATGCAATGCTTTCAGCAAGGAGGATGTGGTAATTGTGTTCAAGTGTCTTATACTATCATATCCCTTCTTTCCCTATTATTGCTCTTTAGTTTCATTTAGATTGATGTTTCCCCAACCCATATAAGCTGGAGATTGGTTAATGGTAACTCACGTTTCTAAAAGTTTCATCTGTGTTAGTGCGACAATATCTGGCATCTTCAGCGGAATTATATAACTAGCTCCAGTATTTGTTTTTTCTCTCACTCCATCCATGTTAGTATATTATGTATAATTATTTGGAACATGTTCTTTCTCCCTTCCCTTTGTTTTCTGGGGGGAGTCCCAATGGCTCCCTGGAGCTATCCAGGCTGATATGCTAATGTCAGACTTTGGCATCAGTCATGTGTATGGAGTTCTTTGGGCCTACCGGGAACCACGGCCAGAACCTGGCCCCCTCAGAGAGGCAAGGGAAGCAATGGACTATAGAAGCCCCCGTGTGGTTGTAAGCATTCTATGTCTGCCATCGACCGGGTCAGGCACCCAGAAAAGTAAGCATCCCAAAACAAACCCCTATTCTGGTGAAAATATTGCTACCAAAAGCCTACCAAGTGGATAGAACTCCCCAAACAAAAACGAGGAAACTAGTGTGATGTCACCCGTTGCAGCGCCGCTGTCTGCGCAGCTCCCCCCTCTCCGGGAGGGGGAAGGGGGAGCC